ATTTCTACAGCTGCAACATGATCACTAGAAGAATAATAAACTTCTTGCTGTAGGCCATATTGTTTATTAGTTTTAAATATATCTACATGTTTACAGTAGTAAAATGTTATACACAACCCTAACAACGATTAAAATGCACAAGAGTTCAAATGCTAAGAAATATTTCATACAGGGTGCAAAATAAACATTTTTTTATCAAACTTAAATTTCTTAATTTTGTTTCAGAAATATTTATGTCACTTTTATAAACCCCTTGAAGAGCCTATTTGGGTTTTTATTTAACACTATAAAACCCAAGTTGTATAACTAAAGGTAACATAAATAATTTGTAAACCACTATATAACTTCTTAAAGAATTGTCATCCGTCTTTTCCTCCTTTTAATATTTCTCTCACTTTCTTAGGCACATTTAAATATATTTTTATATGTCATTTTATAAATTATTATTTATATAAAAAATAATCATGGCGGAAGAAATGAGCCATCTTATATTGCTTATGTCTTTTATATAACCCAAGGTGTTAGTTAAATTTTACAGTAGCATCTATTTTACCTAAAGTGGTATTATATAATTTTAACTCTTAAATACATTGTAGGAACTGTAGTTGCTACAAGAGATGTTATAAAACTTTTGATAGGCAACTTGAATTAATAACTTACAATTTCTATTTAAAACAAATTAAAGACATCAAGTTTTATAATAAAAGTAACCGCAAACTTTATAAAACCTTTTTAAAAAACTTATATAAATCTACCGGTAAATGTTACCATAGATTATATAAAATGTTTGTGGAGACAATTATATAACTAGAAGTTACAGTTACCTTATATGACCATTATAAAACTGGGAAACTAAATAGAGTTTTTATAAAACTCTTATATACGCTGACTCTTATACTCTTATATACTTTGACTACCTTTATATAACCTATATATAAATTATCGTCACCATTTATTTAATACTTGTGAGACAACCCCTTAACTTTTAACAGGCATGATAGGGCAAGTAATTGTGGAAACAATTATATAACCTTATTATATAACTAGAGGTTAGTTACCTTATATGACCATTATAAAACTGGAAAACAAAATTGCGTTTTTATAAAACTCTTATATACTTTGACTACCTTTATATAACCTGTATATAACTTATCGTCACCATTTATGTAATACTAATTTGAGAACAAATCGTGTAAAATAATTTTTTAAACCTACTTAACATCTAGATGGCGCCTGCAGTGACATTTCAGAACTAGTTTAGTCAGTAAATGCACAGCATTCTGTAGAATAGCATGTTGTATGTAATTGAAAGTGCAGAATTGATTAATAAGCACTTTATAACGGTTTCGGATAGTTCAGGATGCAAAATGAAAGTAATAGGATGCCGATCCGCAGAAATGTTAAATAATCTTTAACACGGTGGGTGAAATCTGACATTTGAGTCTTGAAGTTTAAAAGGATTAAGAATTTTCGTGTGTCTATTTGTTTCCAAAGTTGGGAGACGTCACAAGAAAGAGGAAGGGTCAGTTTCGATCATTTTTAGCGTCACGAGATTTATGGACAGTCCCTTGAAGAGGAAATAGTATATTAAAGAACTAATGTCATAAGAAGTCATTTTGTCGCACGCGGACAATTTATGTAATGAGATGAGCTCTTTATGCTATTTTATCTATTTTGCAAAAATTCTATAAAAAAAATTAATTTTATACCTTAAATTTAATTTGGTCGATTTTTACTTTAGATAGTCGGTATCACAGTCATTGGTTTGACAGTTAATGTCGAAATGTTACAAAAGTTTTTTTAAACTTTATTTTCTACCCCACTGTAGATGGTTGATGCATGGAATTTTCTTGGCAAAGAGTTAAACAGTACTCGTACAATGGAAACAAACGCTTTGTTATTAAATTGGGAGAGTAATTTTAATCCAAGTTGCTGCAGCTAGAACTGTATTTAATGTAATGATTTACAAAGTAATTATCTATTTTATGATTTAAGAGAAATATGTTCAGCAAGAACTTACATTTACCTAAAAATATGATTTTTTAAAACAGCCTCAAGAACAGCTTAAAAGTGTTAAATTTAACTCAGAACTATTGGGCCAAAATCCAGACACCTGGCAACCAAGAGCACACACGACAACATCGCATTTAACAAAAATAATCTAAAATCTAAATATTGTCAGCTACCTACCTCCTGTACGACCCGCATGCATATTTAAAAGTCTAATTCTTTTACACCTTGCAGGTAACAGCTTTAGATTAGCGTTTTTCGAATTAATTGCTTGATTGACGACCTAGACAAAACGAAAAGCAATTCGGGACGGCCTTGATCAATTTCCTGGCCGCCTTTAAATACAAAAAGAAATTCACCCATTGGCTGTCACGTACTACTTAAGAATTATTACGTCAACTTATTAGTATTAAGTAACATAATTTACCTACCTTTTTTGCAAATCGTCAATAAATTTGATTTATTATTATAACTGTCATTAATTAAATTGTTTATGTAGTGATACACTGGACGCACTCTATATTTTATTTGATCAACTGAAATGTCAAAAGTTTTGACAGACTTCAAACGACTTTGGTGTTTAGTTCCCTCGTTTTTTTTAATATAAGTGTTTTGGAAGCACCCTGTATAAAAATACCACCATAAAATTAAGGTAAGATAAATTTAAACAATCCAAATTAATAATTTTAGTAATTGCCGTTCATATTACCTAAAAACCTCTCTAAAATTGTTTTATTGATGAGATGTTAGACAATAAAAGTTAATTATTGTTTTATAACAATATTCCAAATAACTTTCGTTGTGTCCAACGAAAATTAGCCTGGTCTAGATATCGGTTGCTTAATAGCCAAAGCAATTTGTGATTTTCGAAGAATTACAGTGTTGCATGTTAGGTTGTAAAATAGCGATAAAAAGTTAATTTTGTCGTTAAAAAAATTATATGGGCAAGGTTATTAAGGCCAGCGATATTGTTTTATTGTTTTTATGTCATTATTATTTTTATGTATAACGTTTAAAAGTAAGGTTATGAAATAACCTAACTTTTCTAATGACCGCCATTTTGCAGGATTTCTTGGGATTTATCTTAGACCATAATGCCTAGTACCGTGGCCGACACGGAATTTTGAACGACTATCATCCTGTTGACATCAAAATCTAAACTTTCTTTATGGACAACTAACCTTACTTTCGGTTATCACTAGTATTGTAATTTTGACAGCGAAAGCAAAAATGCTCAATATTGTATCTTTGCTATTTACAGATGTATACATTTACAACCAAGTTATGTCGTTCAAAATTCCGTGTCGGCCACTGTAGTATTATATTAAATGTAGGTACTACCTGGTAGCACTTTTTTTTTCAAAAAATAATTAAATTAGCTACAAATTCTATCAATATGGGTCCCTATTACAGAGCATTTTAAATATTGAAATAATTTAATTTAAATTATTTTTTTGAAAAAAATGTGATAAAATGTAAAATAAAATGTGAAACAGCTAGTAGCACATTTTTCTCAAAAAAATATATACAATGTATTACACTTTCCATTTTTTACGATTTTTTCATGTTCAAATATCTGAGGTAGAAAAACCATACTAAAAATATCAGTTCACTAAGTAAATTAAACACATCCAAAGCAATCGAATCAAATATAAAATATTATTAAAAATTAAAAGAAATAAGTTTTATAAACATTTATGTACATAGGTGTTACAAAAATTGATTCTATCCTCCGTGAATCTGTTTTGCTTTAAATTTTATGCAACGGATGTCGCTTTATTCATTTTAAATAAACAAAAACCTCTGTTTACGACATTATAGATGCATGTGACTCCTGAAGGTCAGATAGAATTTATATGCAGATGAGAGTGTTGCTGTTTTATAAATCAAAAGTTTAAGTTCATTAATTTGCTATTTAAAAACCTATCCACCGTGAAGTGTAATATCTCAGTGAGTAGATTTTTTTTATAAATATTTTATGTATGTACAATTGTATTTTTAAAAAATATTAAGGTGTCATAAGATACAATAATTTATTTCAAATCCTAACCTCCGTGAAGCTATCTTCCGTGAAGCTCTAATATTCAAAATGTATGATTTCTTAAAATTCTTGCATTAGTGCAGAACCACTTATGTTATGTTATTACTAGACCTGGTGGCTTCCCAAAAACCCCATTCTAGACTAGACAGTGAAACAACCAAAAATAAAAAATAATTATATTCACCCATACATACATATATTTTTTATTTTTTGCTAAAATGGTTTTATGTACTATGATTCCATACCCTAAAGTCCCAGTTTGACATTTGAATACATATACCTAATTAAGGTTATCTATCTGTCATTTTAGCGCTAATTTCGTATTTTATAAAAATAATTTTGTATATAATATTACCATATTATAATTTTAAGAATTTTTTAATTATAACGGTTTTTATTTTTAAAATAACAATACCTATTTTATATTTTTATTTCTACAATATTTTACAGTGCTTAGTTTTAAATTCTCAAAGAATGTATAGCTAAACTTTTAATATATTACATATTTATCGATAAAATGTTAACTTTTGATCGTTTTCAATCCAAATTAGGTACGCCATACCACTCCGGTAAGGTAAAACGAACTATAAAGTGTAAAAAAATTAGTCCGTAGAGATGAATGTACGGGAAAAGGTCATGGAAACGGAGAACAAAAGCAACCTTGAGCGGGTAAAATCGAGCTTAGAGTGTGATAAAACAATTGTCCGGCATTTATTTAACAATAATATTAGTCGAATATGGGGCATTACGTTGGCAAACGTCGGTGCCGAAAAGAACGCGAGAATTCGCTTTTTTCTCGATAAAATTCCGAGCATATGGCAGCATGAGCGCATTTTGAATCGGTTTGCATTGAATCACAGTGGGCCAAGCGAGTAATCGCGGCGTTTCATTGGTCGCGCGACGCCCACTGCCTGCTTGACCGGCCGATCCGCAGCCAACGTTTCCCGCGAGTTCACAACAAAATAACCAGTCGGTTTTGTGCTGCACTAGGTTCATGGCGTACCTCAATCTAATAACACGACGTTAGTTACAAAGAATTACACATCGCAGAAGTTTATGCAATTCAGGTACTTTCACCACGCGTTGCGTAACCAAACAAAAGAACTCGTTTTAAACGGTGTGTCCAACGACGAAATTGTGCCGGTTTGCTCTATCAGTAATAAAACAAGTGCAAGTGCCCCAAATTCAGTGATTTACTTCTGAAAATCCAAGAAAATACAAGGTAACACACGCGTTTTTACATCGTTGAGGTTATGTTGTCTCTCTTTGTTCCAGCAACAAGTTGCCAAAGTTTTTACACTACGAATCGCAAAAACACATGTTTTTATACAAATATACTACTCTTTATTCAATTATATTACGATTTATATTGTTTAAACACAGTTGCTTAGTCAAAAATACAATTAAAATCATTGACAACGTGTTTTGACACATTTCAGCGATTCGGATACCCACTTCGCTCCACCCTGTATATTTGTAACTCTTCGGGTTCATGGACACAACTTTAATGACTGTTCTTAAAACAATAGAAACAAGTTTATTCAATCTCTACTCGGAATAAACCTCGTGTGTTTTATAACAGCGTTTTTACTTTTGATTGTTGCCAAATTTACCACGTTTTTGTACGAATTTGCTGCGTTTTTACGAAGAAATATTTTTGTTTTTCTTTTACTTTATATAATGGTGACATTTATGCTGTGACATTTAGTTAAATATTATTCAATTGATTACCTACAAAGTTTATTTGGCGAAAATTAGTCATATTTTGACATAACCGACCTTGACATTTTATGGGGAAACAACATTTTTTGACATTTTCAATTAATTACATAAAATGTACTATAATACACACCTACTTTGACATTTAAGTACAAATAATTGCGTTGCTATCTGTAAGTGTTTTTTGTGTATAAAGGTCTTAATTTAGTACACAAAAAATACACACCCGACAGATAGATAACCTCAAATATTTGTATTCAATTGTCAAGGTAGGACCTAAATGAAAAAAATTTATCATATCTGTATACTGTCTAAATATTTGAATTGTTAATTGATGTCTAATATTTCGAATTATCAGAGTTTTTTTAACTTTTCATGCTCTTGCGATTTTTTGTAAGAAATTAAATAAACTTGAACATAATTAAACAAGATTTTTTGGTATTTCCGTTATGTAAATACATCTGGATAAAATAAGAACATTACCTAATCAAATAGATTCTGCATCTGAAGTTTTTAAAATTGTCACATAAAAAGATTGCTTCCCATAATTTTATTAAACGTGATAGCTACCTACTTACAACAAAACAATATGTTTTTTTTTTTTTTTTTTCATCCACCAAACATTGAAAATATTGCGCTGTTGCCTTTTTACAAGGCTTTATTCATATTGTAATGTGGATTTTGGGCCAGAGCTGCTTAAAAAATAAATCATCTTAAATATGTACAATTATTTTTTTAGCTCGCACTGTATGTCTAGTTTTGTGGGTGATTGTACTATTATATCATGTGTTTCCTTTACTATTTATCTGTGAATGTACATTTTATATTTCCTGTTGTATATTTAAAATCGTTGTAAGAATATAAAGATTATTTGTTTTGTATACCGAAATAAAAAATGTTTTAAACACACGTTTTTAGATTGTGTTGTGTATTCACTTTTGTGAATTTTTAATATAATTGAAAAAAAAAATTATTATTGAAACCAAAACAGGGTGTATGTATTAAATGGTTACCGTTACGACACATTTTGATAAAATTGCGAAAAAATACATTTTAATAAAGATCCAATCTCGGGGCTTACCCTTATTAATTATTAATTTTGTGTACATTCATATTTTACAAAAAAATAAATTTAATCGATTTTCAATCATGGGGGTTTAGGGTTAGGCTAATTACTATTAAAGCCTACTTGCCTCCTAGGCATTTTATTACTAGCTAAAGTTGACATAGCCTAAATTCGCAAGTTCTTGTAATAAAACAAACAAAGGATGGAATTAATTCGTCCACCAAGGAAATCTGATACTAAGGATCTATTAAATGACCATGGTTGTTTTAAACAAAGAACTTAATTCTCTCGGTATAAGGAAAAATATTTTTCGCATGCAACTTAGCTTTGATTTAGTTTACTTTGTCAAATTATTACTTTAAATGCCTTGTTTAAATAAATAAACTTGAATGAATCATGAGTACAGTAATTCATTTTGTCTTTGATCCAAAAAACACTTTGAATCAAGAAGGAAGTTTAAAATAAACTTTTTTACATATTTGATAAAAATTATTAATTTTCGGGACCAATGACATGTTATCTTGAAATTCCCAAGGTCACGGACATTAAATAGTATTTATTGGAGATATTTAATTATGTTTTATCATACCATATTGTCTTTATTCACAAAAGGTTATCAGGTATAGTAAAAATAGACAAAATTCTTCCCATCGCAAAAATTATCATAACTAAAGAAAAAAAAATAATTAGTAGACCACATCACGTAATAATAGTTTAAACTAGTGACAGTTTTATATTAATATAAATGAGGTATTATGATCATAAATAAATTTAAAATTAAATCCGTTTTTTCGGACTTATAATATAAAATTATGGGGGCGATAACCTAACATTCCAGTCAACCTTGGTTTGTCGCGCTAAATATTTTACAACAATTTACCAGGAAAATATTATTTTAGCAATTCTAATAACATCCACATCTTATACTATACTATACTTTACATAACAGAAAAGACTGTAAAAAAGTTTTGGCGCGCAGAATTGTGCCCGCCTTAATAAATTTTGAGGTTATGATTTAAATGTCAGTGTGTAGGATTTAAAGAATATTTTTCGATTAAATCACAGTCCGGTAATTTTTACCATAGATGAAATGGCTTATTTTTACTGTTTTCTCGAGTTTTAATTTTGATAAATAAATGAAATAACTAATTAATCGAGAGATGTGATTGTTGTTAATAAATAAAACTTATTTATGTATAAGGATTTCAAGGATAAATTGGTCATTTAGTTAGTTATTTGTGTAAAATATTTATTAAATTTTAAATTAATACGAAATTAATTTGTTTCATGCGGTAAACCTCTTTTCCAGGATGTTATATTTTAAGTATGTACAGTGGCAGACAAAAGACATTAAAAAAAATTGCGTTTGACAAATAACAAGATTTTAAAAATAATAATTCATTGCCTAAGATTTGGTTTTGATGTTAAGTTGGCAACATTTTTTTGGGATTTTTTCTTTGTTTTTTTCAAGTTTCTTTATTATAGTAAAATAGATTTTACGACTTTATCAATAAAATCCTTTTACAAATACAGCTGTGTAATTGTTTTGTAAAAGTGTGTTAATTACTTCGAGATATGGTCTTTTATGGTTAAAAATGTTAACAAAGTGACGTTATATAATGTATACCACATGGGAAAGGCGCTTAATTCGGTTAAATTTTCATCTGGGCGGCAATAAAAGTTCGTAATAACTTTTATAACAACGTCAATTTCAAGGGACGGTCGAACCATTTCAGTTTCTTTCGGGGCAAAAACAAAACAAAATCGTGTTTTACTAATTTCGGAAACTTCTTGATAACATTTATTTGATTAAAAAAAACACTAAAATAATATTTTCTACACAGAGAAAAAGGATTACTTGATTTAACAAAATGGGTTTATTTGAAATTAATTTATTTGAAACAAAACAAAATTATTAAAATTAAAATCTGTATTTTTCCTTTAATGAAACTGCTTTGTTTGAATATATTTTGTAATTTCTTTGGATTTAGCACGTGATAAAAAGTCAATGTAAAGAAATATTTCTTTAAAAAAATATCAGTTCGCTAAAACAAAAAGGTTTATTTACATCAATAAACAATTTCATTGGTACGCCATAAGTGTAAAACATTTTATATGAAACAAATATTTATTTTACTTCTTAATAGATCAAATTAAATCAAATAAATATTTATTTAAAGTAAGGATCGCGTGATTAAAATAAACCAATCAAATGTAAGCTTCTTGTTCTAACCGCTTTCAGGAAGTTTGTTGAATTGTCATTGCCATTTTGGTCTGGGTAGTGCGGCTGTATTTTTTATTAAGTTTATTAATTTAATATAAAAATGGATGTGAATGTGTTCCTAAATTCTTCCAACTTGGAGTATTTGCTGCCAGCGTTAACAGGTAAGTATATACATATACCTACATATGTATAAGTACATCTATAGGTGACCATCATTAAATCAATTTTTTAATACATCAATTATTATGTCTGAATCCCGCCATTTTTTTACATTTTTTGCATCAAAAAATATACTGGGTGTACAAAGTTATTTGCTAACTTTGCTATTATTGGAGCTACAAATTCGGTTAAATTAGCAAGATGTTGGCATTTTTTCTTCCGATTAAAATGGTGAAAACAGAAACACAATTTAACGTCGGGTTTTTAAAATATGTTTAGTATTTTTAGTAATTTTGAAAGACTATTTAAATTGCATAAATACCCTAAACTTAAAAATAAACAATTAATAAGCACTAAAACTTACTGATTATTTCAACAACTTCAAAAAGTGCCTATTAATTAATTATTTTTTTCTACTCCCACCTTTAAAACGTCCATTATCATACATGTTTCCATGACACTAAGTGACCATTTAAATACACATTGACGGTTTAGTCACGAGATGAAGCTAGCAACAGGTTTTTAGTCACGGGCTGAAGTAAGCTTTAAGTTAGTTGACAGTTGTCAAATGTCTTACAATCGTTAAAATAAAGTGCCGTTCTTGTGAAACAGTACTTAATGGGAAAATTATTTTATTATCTCAATACAAAAATTCAAAAGCATTAAATAGTTTTTCAACGCCAATATTTGCAAAGTGCCTAAATTAAATTCGTGTCTAAAATGGCGTTTATCAAACTTGATACATAATATATAATATATATACGTTCAGGGTAGTAATGAAATAATATTTTTTATTTTTAATTAAATTGTCTTAAAATATTAAAAAATATACAGGTTGTCGCATTAAAAAGATTATTTTTGAAACCCGACGTTTGAATATTTTTTTTGCTAATTTAACCGACTTTGTAGCAAATATAACGAAGATAGAATGAGCAGACAACTTTGGATACCTATAGGTATACACCACAGGCCGTATTTACTATCTTTTTAACGTTATTTAAATAATGGTAGGTACTTAACCTATTAATGGCAACATTTTATTTTTTTAAGTTTT